TCCCTCTCTATGCAGGATCTCCTACATCCCTTCCAAGTGGATGACAGTGGTAGCCGGGCACCATCTAGTTCTTCTGGTCTCATAGTTGTATAGGTTGCATACTGCAACCATTTTTGAATTATCTTTAGCAAGATTTTGCTTGCATGTGATATTAATGATATTATTAGATAATTTCCACATTCTGTGGGATCACCTTTCGTTGGAATGGGTACAAACATGGATCTCTTCTAGTCAGTTGGCCATGTAGCTGTCTTTCAAATTTCCTGGCCTAGATGAATAAGTGCCTCCAGAGTGGCATCCGTTTGTTGAAACATCTCAATGGGTATTCCATCAATTCCTGGGGTCTTGTTCTTTTCCAATTCCTTCAGTGCAGCTTCGACTTCTTCTTTCAGTACCACTGATTCTTGGTCATATGCCATCTCCTGAAATGGATGAACACTGACCAATTCTTTTTGTTACAGTGGCTTTGTGTATTCCTTCCATCTTCTTTTGATGTTTCCTGCATCATTCAATATTTTGACCATAGAATCTTTCAATATTGCAACTTGAGGCTTGAATTTTTCCTTCAGTTCTTTCAGCTTGAGAAATGCCAAGCATGTTCTTCCCTTTTGTTTTTCTAACTCCAGGTCTTTTCCCATTTCATTATAATAATTGACTTTGTCTTCTTGAGCTGCTCTTTGAAATCTTCTGTTCAGCTCTTTTACTTTGTCATTTCTTCCATTTGCTTTAGCTACTCTCCATTCAAGGGCAGGTTTCAGAGTCTCTTCTGTACAGGTTCCTCATGAGCACAATGCAGTGCTCTGGAATTTCCATTCTTCTCAATGTTATCCATAATTTGTTATGATCCACATAGTTGCATGGTCAATAAAACACAAGTAAACATCCTTGAGATGGTCTTTTCTTCCTCTCCTGTCTTTTTTATGACCTTTTGCTTTCTTCATGGATAATGTTCTTGATATCATCCCCACAATTCCTCTGGTTTTTGGTCACTGGTGTTCAATGCATCAAATCTATTCTTTAGATGGTCTCTAAATTCAGGAGGGATATAATCAAAGTCATGTTTTGGCTCTCATGGACTTGTTTTAATTGTCTTCAGCTTCTACCTGAACTTGCATATGAACAGTTGGTTGTCTGT